TTTGATCAACATTTTTTTTCAGTAACTGTTTTAAGAAGATATTCGCATAAATACGTCTTCAGCTTAAAGTCAATCTCTGCATAAACATCTTCTCATGTTAATGTTAGGACTTCAACTGAGCGTTAAAACAGTGTCTATTTGGTGTATTATTTGTCAACATCAACCTAACCGCAGTCTATAAAGTTTCTCAGATGTTCAAGCTGATTTCGGCCATTCTTTATCATAGCCAAGATTTTTCGATAATTGGGCTGTTTAGCTAAAAAGGTAGCCTTGCTAGAAACCAAAGCTTTCGCTGCATTCAAGGAATCGAACATGAGTTACGAAAAGATTTGCTTAAGTATTTGTTTTCTTTGTGACTTGTATTTTGGATTTTTCTCAAATTAACAAGTTATTCTCTCGTATACCTTCGTCTTATATTACATTATTATAAATATAACATTATTATAAATAATGATCTATAATTTAATCCATCAGCGGCAGGAGGAACAGTTCAGGCCTCACGTAAGTTTAAGTAGAACATAGTTATGGTTTCTGCGTAAACATAGATAGCCGACATATTTCCTGTCTTTGAACGTTAAGATACAACGTCTTTCAGTTGCACTGACTTCCCTATACCGCCATTTCTTATCTCCCTCAGTGTATTCTCCTGATATTTAAAGTATGATATCTATGACGGCGAAAAGAAAAAACGTTATAAAACACGACCCCATCAAAAGATTCTCAGTTGGCTTGAACTTTTTTAGTGTGCATGAAGTATGTCTTTGTTGCTGCATGGAGAAACAAATTCAGTTAGCAAGTATGGGAAAGATAAGACGGACATATGCTCCTATTTTTCCTCTTTTCCATGAACCTTCATGGAAACGGTAGGCAGAGGGAGCATTTCTACTGGAGGCGGTGGCTACTCACAAGGAGTAACAGGTGGATCAAGCACAGGAGGCTCCAGTGAAAGGGGAAGCTCCTCACAAGCTGTAACTGTTGAATCAACCACAGGAGGATCCAGTGTGATTACAGGTGGAGGGAGCAGCTTTACTGGAGGAGGAAGCACATTAAAAGTTGGCGGGACTTCCTCCAGCGCTGGAAGTAGCAGTTCTAGTTCGGGAGGAAGCTCCTCGATGTCAATTAAAGGTAGAAGTAGCGGTTCCATTGTAGGCGGTAGCTCCCCAATATCAATGAAAGGTGGAGGTAGCAGTTCTAGTTCAGGAAGTAGTTCTTCTAGAATAATAACCGCGAAAGGTGGAAGCTCAAGCTCGGGAAGCAAAGTTATCTCAAGTGGAAAGAAGATGGTAAAGATCGGAAAAGTTGTTCTGACGCCGAAGCAAGGCACAGATGTATGGGGTACGGAAGATAATCTTGTTAAAGATGTTATTTCCGGTAACACTTCAGGTAAGTTTTTTATATCAGAGAAAGTATTTTAAAGATTTTGAGGTACTAAAATGAAAGGTTCACCTTGACAAGAAAGCTTAAGATACGAGATCAAAACTCATTGCTACGCCTTAAACTTTATTTATTAATCATTCATATAGTTGTGACCCTAGCTCAGTGAGTGATGGCTTTTTGACAGCCTACCTAGTTAAAAATATGGTAACTAAGCCGTGATAGTAATCAAAACATTCTGGCACTTGGAGTTTTCCCTACTAGCTGCTTTAACATGTTACACTTGAATCATACTCTTTATCTGTCTCGTATACTTTAGCTAACGTCCGACCAGTTGCGTTGTTCCCATTGAACGAGAGGTACGGGGCAACAGATGTGATTGGCGGAAACCTTGCTGGCGTGAAAAGCTACGTCACAACTGCTCAAGGGCCTTATAATAAAGAAGGTGGCTCTCTGTCATTTCTTGGAGCACCAGACAGTTTTATCGAGTTTCCAAACAATGGTAAACTGGATACAAAGGATTCATTGACAATACTGGCCTGGATATTCCCTGAAAAGGCGGGACCCATCTTTAACTTTAAGAGGGACGGGTGGGAACAAATCTTTGGTTAGCAAAACCGAGAAAACTGTTTGCTCACTTTGTAGACAGAGAAAATCAAAAATCCATACAGCCATTGAAAAGCACTAAGATTGCACCAAATCGATGGAATTTTATCGGTGCAACATATGATCAAAAAACGGGATATGCTGGCCTGTGGATTAATGGAAAGTTCGAAGATTTTAAGCACATAGGCCGTATTAGACTGGCTACTAACTATCCAATCAGAATGGGAGCTCGAGTCGGAGATAAAAGAAACTATCGCGGACGCATCGCCTGTTTACAAATTTATGATAGAGCTCTTACTTCAAAGCAGATTGATGATGCAATTAATAATTGCAAAATTTATACCAGGCAACAGAAAAAAAATTAAGTTATCAAATAACCCTAAAAGCCCCACGTGTGCTATTACTGAAAAACATGAGCTAAAATCCCTGTATAAGTTAGACACAGTCTATGGCATTTTAGTTCATCTCATCATCTTCAATATAATCACACAATAAACGAACCACTGATATCTATAGAGAAGTTGAAGTCTAACGTCCTCACCAAAGCCTATACAAGTTAAACACTTGTCAGTTACTTCGAATCTCAAGGGACAGGGGAAATATAATAAGTCATGGCTACTGCCTAAAGGCCGTGAGGCTAACTACCACAAACGACACATGACATCCTGTGATGGGTATGTAAAGTTTCAGACTTATGGTTTGATCAAATGTCACTCTTATCGAATCTTCCCTGATATCCTTATTCAAGAAACAATCGTTTATCATTGAAGGCAATATTTTGCTAAATAAAACAATACAGTCGAGAAGAGCGGCCTACATAACCCTATGACCCCTAAGAGTGACTAGGATCCAGTTTCTCCTCACATTATCACCCCTGAATCACATATTAAGGTCAAAAGAATAAAGGAAATGATCACCAAGTAAAGAAGCTCTTGAGTGTTAAAAATATTTCTCCTTGTCAGCTTAGAAGATGTACGGAGAACAGCTTGGGGAATATGGATACTGATGTCAGTCAGGGTGTAAAGAGTTAAGTGATGAACCTGACGTTGCACGTCGACGGATTCGACGTGACTAACAATCATATTCGCGTAAGTTGGCTTATACCCAGGGGGTAAAAGACTTTCATTTCGCGTTGTAGACGGCAAAGTGAGGATAAGAGGGCTTTTTGTTAGTTGATACTTTGTTAATGCATATTGGGGAAGAAAAGTCGATTAACATTAAGTATCATTTTCACGATCTTTTGAGAATGACCGGAGGTTTTGGTCGTTATCAACTGACTCTGTTTGCTTTAGTTTGTTTGGTTTCATTTCCCACCGGCGCTCAGCTTTCCATCCCAGTATTCTATGCTATCTCGCCTTCTTTTATTTTACAAATAAATAGGCCAAGTTCAACCTCAAACAGAATTGATCCTATAATAGGAAAGGAGACTTTCTTAAACTTCAGAAACTCATAGTCTGACCGAATGTCACTCTGCAAGCTAGCGTGATGTGTAATGAGTAGTTGTGTCACGCAGTCTTCTTTCCCATAGAGGGTGTTGATCTCCATAAATAAGAAAGAAAGAAGAAGGCGAAGTTGCCTTTGAAACATAATTTACTAGACCGTGTAAAATGATGTTGAGTAAGGAATTCGAGGTAAACCCGCTACAGTTGGATGTGAACCACAGTCTTTCTCCAGAGCAGCCGCAGTCGCCTTCAAAGAGGTTGTCAAAGAGCCGTCACGCAGCTCTTCTGTTCCTTGCGTTGTGTGATGGGACTAACGGCCCAGGCCAGCCGAGCTTATTGCGTGACCTGGGTACTGTTTACATTTGGCAAGTCACGTCACTAACACATGATGACTGCTTCAATATCTGCCACTTTCTCGCCATAGTTATTGCGTTCATATACATTCTTTTAGACCCCTGGGTGCAGACACCATTCCTTTGAACGAAATGGAAATGGATGAAGTAGAAAATCCCGAGGAATCAACAGAGAATCGATCTACGAAGGAAATCAAAATCCACGAGTTCGATGACCTTCTCAAAATAACCGGTGGTTTCGGTCGCTATCAAATGGTTCTATATGCTTTTATGTGTCTGGTTTCTATTCCTACTGGTGCTCAACTCTTAATTCAGGTGTTTTACGGCGCTTCGCCTCCCTTCGTCTGTGTTTCGACGTCGAGAAATGAAACATGTGCCTCTGGTTGCTGTTCAAGTTGCCATGAGTATGAATTCCGTGGCCCTTTTACCAGCGCTATCTCTCAAGTAAGAAATTGTAATGTTTATACATGTTTTGTTTACCAAAGTTTGCCGAGATACTTTTACTTGATTTAGCTCCATGACTTTGAGTATTGGCGGTATTTACGAGGAAGTGTTCTTGAATTTGCGTCGAAGTGTTTTTAATGATTCTCTACTAAGTAAATAAACCCTTTCGTGGCATTATCAACCTTTTGACGTGGATCGGTTAGCGTGAATCCCTCGACACTGTACGGACCAGTTACATAAAATAAGTAAAAATTACCGAGTTTGAGAATGACATGTTGGGAACTAACGACTATATAACTCTGAAAAGTCGGAAAACTTCACAACTCGAACCAACATTTGTATAGGCGGGGACACAAACTTCACATTCACCGTGTGTAGACGTTCGCAAAATTTCGCCATGTGGTCCTTTTTCCATCGGTTCTCGACAAATTGCTCTCAAACTTGGCCATATTGCTGATTTCATGGCGCAATTTGCAGCAGTGTCGATGAATTGTTTTAAACTGATCCATAGTGATGGTTGAAAAAATCAACGTAATCTGCGACGTAACTTGCAATAGGATAAAGACGAGGCTAATTTCGGCATGAAAGGTTTCTGTAGGGTGCTAAAAACATCAGTACACATGTCAATCGACTGTTCATATTGAAGCCAAATTCCTTTGCTGCAGAGTTTATTTTTATATTTGCAGTATTTGTAAAAGACAGCAAAGTGCAGGCGAAGTGCGATTGAGACTGGCAGGTAGAGAACCAAAAATGTTTGTTGTGCACTCAAGATAACTGTGGT